TTCCTTCACTCAAACAATATGATAATATCATCTTTAGTCCAATTCTGGTCACTTGAGTAACCCTTTTGCATTATAGGAGTTCATAACTTGCTTGTCTGTTCATTGTTCCTTAAGGAGCTCCTTAAACCACAGGCCATCATTCTTCTTCAGTAACTTCCACAGTTACTGACACAGTAACTACAGCTGATATTTCTTACCTAGTCAAGATCTGCTAAATAGTAAATAAAAGTTTGATTACTTACTTACCAGATAGCAATAGTAATGACAATTCCAGGCCAGATCACCAGATTTGTGTCCACTTTCTGTTGGCTTCCTATTGTTTCTGTTTCTCTCTGTGAACTTTTGTTTATTTCTGGTATTTCATTTTGTAATGCATATGTAGAAGGACTTCTGTTTTACATATACATGTTGGACTTAAGAACATCTTTGTGCTTAATAAAGTATCCAGTAGACTATGGAGCTAGTCACATGGAGCTAGTCAACCTATTTGTCATCTTTTCATACTCTTAATGCAGGAGAAACTGCTAGGTGCCCAGGCCAGCCTGTATGAGCATGCACAGCAAGCAGTTCCTCCATGAGCCAAGCCTTTCTCTACTCCCAGAGACTGCTGACAAAGAGACACCTGACTACAGACACAAATGAGGAATGAACAATGCAGCAGAGTCAGCCACCTGAGCCAATGGGACCTTGGGAGGAGGCATAAAGGCAGGCATAACTTCCTTAATAAACAAGTCTACAGTACACTCTGCTACTCATACTCCCCCAAAAGAAATTTCACCGATGCTTTCATTGTCATCATCTAATTGTTTTCAGCAGTGTATTACCGTCCCACTTCTTGATGATAATGAACAAAGTAGGTAGCATTCTCTCCTAAGAGAAATCTGTAGCATATGGGAAAGCAGAGACAGGCAGGAGGCAGAGAAGAATTGAGAGAGAAAAGAAGAGAAAGACATGAAGGGAAGAATTCATTTTTTACTACACTTTAGTAAAGTGAAGGATTTGCATTCAGAACAATAACGTTGTTTTATATATTAAGATTTTCTGCTAACTGAAGTAAGTGGTTCACACTATTAAGAGGCAACCTTTGAGAGTGCTATGGTTAACTGTATCTAAGTAAAAGGAAGTGGAAACACAGCTCTCTAGCAATCACTAAAATTAATGAGTGATTAAGTGAAAAGCCATGTTTGAAATGGTGTGACATATCTCAGGGTTTACATACACAATTTAGAGTGGGGAATAGCCCTAATATGGCTAAGTGGATGCTTTTACTGCTTAAATTCCCGAATTTTCGCTATTTGTGAGATAATCTGATTCATTTATTAAGTTAACTATTTGACCAGTGAAAGTTTATTTCATATAAATAGTATTCCACAACATATTTTAGAAAAGGTACCCCTAAAGTTTTAAAAATATTCAATCCTTTCATTCTAAGAATTAACCAACTAGCCACAGAGAACAGAGTGAGCGTAAGTGATATAACAATGTTCCTGACTGAGCCCAGTCATGCATTCTTGAAGTGAACATGAGTGTTCATGGAAGATTTCATTCAAGCCAATCACCAAAACCTGTGTCCTTATAAAAATTAATTACACCTTTATAGATTTATGGTTATCCTTTGAGGAAACTAATTATATATATATACATACATATATATATATATATATTCTTTACTTCCTCTCAAAAGGTCTGTGAGGTTGAAATTTTAATCCCCATTTTATTGATGGGAGAGTTGAGGTTTAAAAACACAATTTTGTGTTTAACTTCCTTTGGTTTTACATAAATGGAGAATGGATAAGAGCACCTTGGGATGTTCAATTTATCCCTTACATTTACCAAGATGATGCTATTTTCAAATATATGTATTTCCATTTCATCAACTTCTGCTGTACCTACAGTGGGCAGCCAACCTGTGAGGTCTCCATGACATGGCTAAAGAGTTTTTTGCAGTGCTTGAGAGATGTCTAGTTTTCCTTTTTCACAGGTCGACTGTTCAATTTGTGCTGTCCATTTGTCAGGGATGCTCTAAGTGGCACTAAAGCTGACAGAGAACAAGCAGGAGCTGACAGCTTCACTCCAGTTACAGCTGATTAAAGGCTGCTGAGGCCTGAGGGCCCAGTTCTAAACGAGGACCACTCAAACTCGACCAGAACAATTCCTGCATGAGTCTTTTACACCACTTGTAATGGAAATGTATGAGTCTTCCAGAAGCTAAGGAGGTTGTGGAGAATGAGGCCCAGAAACATAATAAAGTATAGAAGATAAGAAATGCATAGATTATTTGGAAAGAAAAATAAATACAAACACTAATGGACCCAAGGGTACAAGAGGTCTTAGTACACAGAAACAATGTATGAACTTCCAGATATGCTTGCATTTCTAATGATGCTCTTAATGGTTATTGCTAACTATTATGATGCTGAGTAATTGTCACACAAGAATACATAATAATAATAGACCTTAAATTTGCATAGCACCTTTAAATTCCCAAAATGTTTTCACATCTGTTTTCTTATTCAATACAAGATGAGAATAGGATTAGTACCCCAATCTTACATATGATAAATTAGAATACCCCAAGTTTTAATGAATCTGACCATGTTTAATGAGCTATTAGAGAGCAAGGTTGATATTTATTCATTCCAACTTTCCACACACATAGTCAAATACAATTCCCAGATTTGATAATTACAGCCATTTGCATCAGACATCTGCATAACAACATTCACTTTGCTTATCACCTTCTGTGCCAAGAACATGATCTGTGTATTGGTCTACAGCTCTCAAAGATTCTCTGCTATTTGACAATAGGGACTATGAACTATTTCTGACATTTCTACTCTCACTGCTGTGGTATCAGCATAATAAAAAGCTGTTTAAAGAAACTAGAATGATGTATTCATTTAAAAAGATGGTAAGTCTTATAAATATGATTCTGTAAAATAAAACTAATACAGTACTTTATTTAACTGACAAATTATTTGGCTGTACAATCAGAAAATACAATTCAGAAGGTGATGGAAACTTATAGAATGGTGGAAATATTTGCATATCTTTACTGGACAGATTTAATACCCAGAATCTATAAAGAATGGATAACTCATCAGGAAAAAGTGAAAAGAAAAGCAGAGTATTTGAATAGACATTTGTCCAAAGAAGATACAGTTATGTCTGAGTAACACTTGGTTAATCTACACTATAAGATATCAGGAAAACAAAAAAGAAGACCCAAGTAAGATGAATTTCACATAGGCCAACATAGTTAATTTGAAACAAGACAGTAGTGTTAAAATAACAAAAGTTATGGATGTTAGGAAAAATAGAACTGCTTTGATGGTATGAATGTAAAATCAAACAAATGGGAAGTACTTGAGTAGTTTCTTCAAAGGCTAAGCACAGAAATACCATGGAAAACTCCATATCTAGGTGTGTACTCAAGAGTGTGGAGAGCAGGGATTCATGCAGATGCTTGTATGCTTGTAGGCCAGTGCTGACTATATTGTTATTCACAAAAGCCCAAAAAAGTTAAAGTGACCTAGTTATCCATCATCAGATGAATGGGAAAATAAAATGGGTTACATACATACATTAGAATATTATCATGCCTTAGAAAGAATAAAATCCTGGTGCTTGCAATAACAGATGAATATAGAAAACATACTTAATTATATGAGCAAGATACAAAGAAGCAAAAATTACTGTATTAGTCTACTTAAATAAACATTGTAGAATAGAATAAGCAAAACCTCATTCTTTCCCTCCCCTCCCCTTCTCTTCCCTCTCCTTCCCTCCCCTCCCAGCTCTCTTGCCTTTTTTTCCACTGTTGGGTACCAAATGCTGGTCCTCTTGAGAAAGCAAGTGCTGTGACTCTGAACTGCAGCTATGGATCCTAAGAAAATTCACAGAGATAAAATGTTGCTTCATGAGTTCCAGAGGTATAAGAGTAAGAAGAATAAAAACTTTTTGGTAAATGAGTAGAGGTTTTGCTGGAAATGATGAACAATTCCCAAAAATGCATTGTGATGATGATTTCACAATAACATGCTTATAATTAATGCCACTGGATGATGCATGTGAATTAAAGTAAATTCTATACCACTATATTTTCTCACAAAGAAAATTATGAATAATAAAGTGCTGTCATTCTATTCTGCCAAGGTTCATTATGACAATTAGAGGAAAAAATGGTTCTTGCTCTCATTATATTTTCATTTTGTTTAGCCTTGAGTTTGTTTTTTAACTCTTCCCCAGAAATCAAAGAGAAGTTTTTTTCCCTACAGAGGACAAAGAATCTAGAGAAAATGTTCGTGGTAGTAAGAGGTTAACATTAATATGTAGAATCTAAATATATATTCCAAATACAATTATTTTTTGCATTTGGTATGTTTCTATATGCTTTATAAAATTAAAGCAAAACAACAAAAATTCAAATTTTCTGCAAAAGACAGGTACCATGCAAACAAATTTTCCTTTAATTTCTTAGTAGCATTAAAATCCACAGTAAAATTTATACAAATAAGAAAGCTGAAAAATTGATTCAAAGCAATTGAAGATTTTAGGTAACAATCAAATTTAAATATATACATGCAATTATTTTTTTATTTAATAGAAATTGTTATAAATAAAAATATTCTTGCATAAAGTAAAAAGCTATACAAAAAAGAAGCAAATATCTATACTCAAACTATAAACCCCTTTACATATCTTTAAATATCATTACCCTTGAATTTTTTGGTGTGTTCATTTTTCTATTAAATACATAACTTATATTGAAAAGTTCTCAAGTTTAAGTAAATGAATACTAGCAGGCAAACATTTTTCCCATACCATTCATTGGTTCACCTGTCTCTCATTTTTTATTTAATTATGTTTTGCAATTTTTAAAACAATATTTGTTAAAAGACTTCAATTTTAGATTGGCACAGTATATCATTATGGTAGTCATTGTGTTCCTGGGAAATCACTAGTCTGAGAGAAACATCTGAATTCACAATTTGAAGTATATGCATATGTGGCAGGTGAGAGTCCATGATCATAAAGGTGGCGGCTCTCTCTCTCAGTGAGGCTCATCCATTGCACTTCTGATGTTGATCTCTGTGCTTTCCTCAAATGGAACAAACTCAACCATATAATTTGTGGTAGTATAGGACTGTGTTTACACTTTCTTCTACTAATACTAGTAATAAAACAACAGCAAAACACAAGCTAATCTGCAGAAAAAGTAAAGTCGAGGTTTCAATGAGCACACACAATGTCTGTAACGTAACAAAGTGGAGTGCCTGTAAGGTATGCTATAATCTTTCTTCTTCAGGTTCTGGACCAGTCTTGTAATTTCAAATAAAATTTAAAATTTAAATGATAGAATATCTTGCCTCTCTATTTGGTTTTCTTCACACACCATAATACATTGTGGCTGTATTCACACATTAAAATAAGCATACAGCAGGGGGATGGCACCCATGGCTTGATTTTATTAGCTGTTTGTTTCTGGAATATACATAATTTTCAAACGTTGGTGTAAGAGTGCGGCTTTATTTTGAATTATTTAAGTAAAATAATAAGAATGTCATTATTTATGTATGTGTGGTGTACACACACACACACACACACACACACACACACAACTGTAAGCAAGGAGCTAATGATTAAATCATTCCCCCCAAGTCCACGTTTAAATCTTTGACTTCATGTATTAGCAACTGAGGCCTGATTTTCAAAAATGCTGATAAAACATCTCTCCACAGAATTCTTAGAAAAGTGTGCCTATAACAGGTTTGTTTTTTTGTTGTGCTTTTTAAATCTTTTCTCCTGACTTGAGACTAACACCAAACAAAACCATTAATTTATATACCAATTTACTTGGCATTCATCTGAGAATTTGTTCAGAGTTGTTTATATATATATGTATATATATTGTTAATAATAAAACTTAGCATTTTATAAACTAGATATTTTCATGAAGATGCTTACAGATTTTTTAAATATAGAGATGTAATCTTGAAAAATAAATATATAAAACCCACAGTAACTTTATACAACAGTGCCACCATAGTTTTTAATAAACTAATTTTCTTAAAACAAAACAACACAAGGGTTCAAAATACTTATTCATTTTTATTTTACTCTTTTGAACTTTTTTATTTTTGAGTGTCATAGATGAACATGATATATTTTTCATTGTTTACTCACACATTCACTCAGTATTTGCCAAGCCTGGTGTTAAGTTTTGTGCTGGATTCTACGCTAGAAATTTGGAAACAAAGCAAATAAGAGGAACATAGAGATTTTGGGATCTGGTAGGAAGAAAAAGGTTGCTAAAGTCTTCTGGGTATGGCCTTCCATCTTAACCCAATGCTCTATGAGAGCAAAAGTTGGCTAATGGATTGTATTGGTTAATATTCCCTGTCAACATGAACAGCAGCATACAAGACACACCTCTGTCTGTAGGTGTGTTTATAGAGAACTTTGGCTGGAGAGAGATAACCTACCCTTAGTTGGGGCAGTAACATCCCATGGGTTAAGGACCATGACTGAATAAGAGGTGAAAGAAGAAAGCTAGATCATTCACTTACCTCTGAAAAATGTGACCTCATTTTTCCTAACTTGCCATCCCCCCGCCATGGTGAACTGTATGTATGTCTTTGTAAAGAGTGAGTCAACACTTCTAGTACATTGTTTTTGTAGGGTTTTATGTCAGTGCTATGAGTAAAGCAACTAATACATCCCTGCGTCCTGGAGAACCAATGGACTTTCCTGGAGACCCAGGGTTCTGTTTCCCTTCTACACATTCTGACAACTACATCTGGAAGGACTGATTGCCCATTACAACTAGAGGGCCTCTGATGCACGAGGGTACCGTAAGGAGAGAGCATATGAAGCCTGTGAGTCTGAGGAATTTAACATCGATGGTGACATTACAAGGCACTGAGAGAACAGGAGTAGGCAGTGAGTCTGGAAGAATCATGAAGGTGGGACAAAGGAAAGCATACAGGTTTTCTTGGGCTTACTCACTGATGCATTTCATGTCTTTGTCCAAGCTGGAGAGCCTAACTAATGAGCACTAGGATTCAACCACAAGTAAGGTGTCACAAATGCACTCCCAGGAGCCTTAGGAACAAGAGGTGAAGACTTTTCTGCTTCCCACACCTGGGATCCAGCATTGCTCTGAGTACCAGCCTGAGCCTTTTGCAGAGCATGTTTGAAAGGGTGGCAGGCAACAAGCAAGAAAGAATGAGACAGAGGCAATTCTTTATGGGGAGGGGCTATCAGTGGAGACTGGACAGTGGGCACAAATGAAACACCCAGGATCCAGAGAAAACTAAGTCTGTAAACATCTAATCACAAGGTTGTCAAAATCTTTTTAAATAAACAATTCATTTAATTTCATTTTATGTGCATTGGTGCTTTGTCTGTATATATGTTTGTATAGGGATGCCAGATCTCCTGGAACTTCGGTTACAGACAGTTGTGCGCTGCCATGTGAGTACTGGCATTGAATCCGTGTCCTCTGGAAGAACAGCCAGTGCTCTTAACAGCTGAGCCATCTCTTCAGCCCTGGCAAAATCTTCTTAACCTCCCATAGGGTACATTTCTGTGTAAATGATGATTGCCTGACACACTGAGAAGGTGGTACTGTGACCCAGGAATTTTGCAAAAGGAAGCTTTATTGCAGGCAGGCAGACAGGATGCAGACTAGAATTTGTCTCCTGCATTTAGCGGCAACAGTGGATTTTCAGCTACTCAGGAAAAGACAGGGCTGATCACTAAAATGCACCCAAAAGTCTCGGTGGAACAGTCCATTCCTAGTACGCAGATTCAGATAGAATTTTGACAATCTTTGCCCATTGTTAGCTAGGGAATTTTGGTTCCAAATAGCTCTCAATGTCATTTTGTGTCATGCCCATGGCTGTACTCTTGTGTCCTGAAAACCAGTATGAACAATTTTGAGCTTCTTCCTTATGGTTTCTCTTCATTTTCTTTTATGAATCAGAAGAACTTGACCTGGCAATCATGTCCTTCCCTGTATGATATGACCATAGCATGTATGATTGCACAAAGAATAATTAAAATTAGGATATTTAAAATTCAAATGCAGCTTTGTTTTTTATTAAGTACATGTCTAAAATAAACTAAATATTTCTGCTCAGTTTAATTCTTTATTTTAATTTTCAAAGGATTTATTTATGCCTATTTTATGTGTATGAGTATTTTGCCTGCATGTATGTCTATGCACCATATGCCTGTCTGGTACCCATGGAGGCCAGAAGAGGGCATTGGATCCCTTCCAGTTACAGAGAGTTGTGAGCTAGGCCACCTAGGTGCTGGGAATTGAATCCATGTTTTGTGTGAGAAAAAGTACCCTTAACCACTGGCCATATCTCTAGCATCCATCCCTTTAATTTTTTTTAAAGATTACTAATAGCAACATCTACCATGAGTACAAATTTCATCATACCTTGGAAGAGTGCCACAGACTGTAAAAATTCTGGCATTCATTTTTGGTAGCTTCATTTAATTAAGTACAAAATCAGAGTGAAAATGTGCACTCCGTTAGGTTGGGCACACCACAGCATGGAGGAAATGAACAACCTTTGAGAATCTGCAAGCCAAAGTGATCAAGGTTAATGCAAGATTAATTGTCCATCGCTCACCAGAAATCTTCTGCCAAATATGGTATGTGTTGTAGCCAGGTTGAGAGAAACCTTTCCTCATTAACCCAACTTATTTTCTGCTTGTTGCATGGTGTGCTAGTTTTGGAAATACACATAACTAAGCACATAAGTTATGAGCAAAGACAAACAAACAAAAACTCTGTCTATGGCTAAAATAATTTTGTTTCCAAATGACTTTGTATCATGACCATTATTTGGGTCTTCCTGATAATACTGGCTCAGGGAGAACAACAGGGAATTTTATCCAGGATTGATAAAGTCATGATAAGTTCTGTAACAGACAGTATGCAAGAACAAATCATGTTTTATTTCTTCCAGCTCCTCAACAGCGGTGTTTCTCTGTTCATGATAGTGATGAAAACATACTGAATTCCAACAGATGGAAGACTTTTCAGAGGGGAAATATTCATAGTACAGAGAACTTTAGACCCTTTTGTTTGGCGTTTTTGTTTTTGTTTGAATCCTGCTTTGTAATGAAAAGTTTGATAGCCATCCAGAAGGATGCATAAGTGCACGAGGGTGCAGGTGTGGGATACTCCACATTATATGACAAGTTTGTAGATTTGACTCTGATTCACAGGAGGGTAATGTGGATTATGTTAACATATGTGTGTATTTTTTTCTTCCAAGTCAAAAAGAATCAGTTACTGGCTTATAGAATGCCTTCTCTTGGAGAAAGTCCACTTACAATAAATCTCTATATCAATATCACTCAGCACGATAATGTCCATATGCAGGATTGCAAACTATAGACAGGGACACTGTTGTAAAGCAAAAAGCAATGAAAGTAACTTTGTTTTACAAATCATTTCTTAAATGCTACATGAAAGCTCTTCCTCTCTCCTAAAGGCAATTTCCTTCTCAATTGTGTGTGTCAGTGCAGATAACAGAGTTATTAGTAGCTGTTTCGGTCTACTTGTCTGTACAGCTTCCGTCCCATCTAGTTTGATGTGTGCCTATCCTTCTCCTTCATCTACAAGGTCTTAGGACATTCAGGTAGCCAATCTGCCCTTAAATATGTCTCCAAGGAAATGGTGCTAATTAGTATTGGAATTTACAGCCTTCCATTTTATTGACTTGTCCTACTTTCTTCGATAATTAACTAATGAGTAAAGTAATGAGCTATGTTAGTCAGTCATGCTGTTCAATTAAATGGCAAATCAATTATTGAAAATAGTTTCGGACAGCTGTAATGTTGGCATGATGTGTGCGTATGCGTGTGCATATTTAATGCAGATGTAATTATGTCCTAGATATTACAAAGTCAGTCTATGTGAGGTGATGTGACTAAAAGGTCCTTTCTGATTCTTACTGCAGCACAAATATGATCAGATATCAAATAGAATCAAGGCATTATTTGCCTATGTCCTTTGACAGTTTATAATTCATATTTATCCAAGACATCACAGGTTTCTCTGCCTTATGTGAAATACCTTGCGAAACAATATCTAATGGATGGGTAACTAAAGAGACTGCATGGCATAAAAGTCAACTTCTT